TAAAGGCAAGCACAAAAATAAGGTTTATTGAGGAAAGATAGCATTAGCATTACAGAGCAAGAGAAAGATATAGGTTTAGAGAGCATGATTTTTTAAAATAACTGAAGAACACTAATTTATTTTTCACTAAGACTTTATATTGAGGACATAACTGTGCTACAACCCCTCACCCCATCCTGAAGGGTTAGTACAGTGAATGTTATAAAGCAGATATGAAGTTTGAAGGATTGGAACCAACATTAACTGACAAAGAATAACTTCCATCTAAATCATCACTAAAAGGTTTAAGTAAAAAAAAGGAAAAGGGGGGCAATGGAGGTTTCAGATTGAACAAGATCCTCACATTTCATCTAATATATTCAACCTTGGCTAGAGTGTAACCAAATGGAAACAGGATTACTATATTACAAAACTTCTACTGCAGCAGGCTGTACACGCCTGTGTTCCAAGCCCACCTCCAACCCCCTGATGCTTCCAACTCAATTATTTCCTGGCCTATTAGGCCTGCCTACAAAGGTGCATGCAGATCTTCTCTTTAATCCAGTCTTTGTTACAAGGCTGGTATGTCTGGGTAGCAGCTTGGTAAACCAGGCTGCTGAGATCTGCCTGATCATCTATAAAATCAAACAACTGACTGATACCATATGTGCTCGAGGGACTGTTGGGATTCATTCTCTTCAGATGTTGTTCTTCATACATTTTACAGACACCTTCCATGCACTCATTCACAGATTCATAGTCAGTGTACGTTCCGCCTTCTGGCCTCTCAGTAGGCTGTACCAACCAGTGGTGTGAGACATCACGCCAATTCTCTTCGCTGCAGCTGCTACAGACACCGCCGCCACTGCACGTGTTTAGCCACAGCACCGTCAACAGCCAATCCCAGAGCATGATATTAATGCATATGCTACAGATGATGACCCGACCCATTGTCACAGCAAGGGGAGAGCCAAAGGAAAGGCAAAGAGGGCACCAGGAGAGCCTTGAATACCTTGCTGGAGATTCTGGATTTGATGCTATAATAAGTTGGTTAGCATCACTGGTTGTTTGGAACTGGAGAGATATTATACTATCAGATATGCATTTAGATTTTCCAGTGGCAGTAGGATAGGGGGAAAAAAGGATTGAAAAGGAAGAGTCTGGAAGAGAGGAGACAAGGAGACAATCTCGGCATTCCAGGAAAGAAACGACGGGGATCTGACATGCGGCTCTGGTGTAAGCTGTGAAGAGGATGAGGCAGCAACTGTGTGATACCTCCAGCGGGATGAGAATCTAAAGCATCCTCCATGGGCCTCCTGCTGAGCCTGAGCTCCCTGGACAGAGTTGCTGCCTTCAGGGAAACTGACAATGGAACACAGAAACTTGGGAAGGCCATTCGATCTGACCATTGAGGTGGAGCTTATGATGGAAGTTTCATTTCTACTCTAGGAGTTGGTTATTGTGCGATTGATAAGGGAAACCCCCATCTATTACTTGGCGGCGCAGCAGCCACTGAGTCCCCCACCCCTCACAGAAGACCCACATCAGCATAATACTAACCTATTACCTGGCCCAGCAACTAGTCTATTGCCTGGTGCATCAGCATAATACTAACCTGTTACCTGGCGGGCATTAGTCACCTGATATCTCAGCCCTTGGACTACCTCAACTTAATAAAAGTGTGAAAAATTGGGTAGATGGGGTTCAGAATTTGGTAGTGAGATCCCTCTAAGCTGCCGGTGAATACATTTTGATTCTCCGACTCTCTGCACGCTGCTCAGTTTGTCCTCGGGACCACTGGCTGTAACATGATGAGCAAAGATAAAGTGGTGAAGAAAGTAAGGAATGTATAATAGGAAGAAAGGAGCAGTGTGTAATAATTCTACCATCACCACACACATAACTTTGGGTAAGTCAGTTTTTCCATTGAGCATCAGTTTATTTATCTGTTGAACTAACATGGTATGTTTTCTCCCAATGTTACAGATGAGGACCTGAAGCACAGAGAGAAACTTGCCCAAAGTTATACAACCTGGGAAGAATTGATATTTTAGGCTTGATGTCTTAATTTCCACAGTTCTTTGAACTGTGATATAGGAGAGGAGGGCAGGAGATTGAGTGTCTCAGGGTAGGAGGTGCCACAAAGAGAGAAACCTGCAGAGCTTTTCAAGCTTGGGCAGCTGGCTCAGGCAGCATTGTTTGGGTTCCTCCTCCTAGATTAGAGGCCTCTGAGAAGAAGAGATTAGAAATCTGTGATAACAAAAAGCTGCTCTTTTTGCCACCAAATTCTGAACCCCATCTACCCAATTTTTCACACTTTTATTAAGTTTGGGTAGTCCAAGGGCTGAGATATCAGGTGACTAATGCCCACCAGGTAACAGGTTAGTATTATGCTGATACATAATACTCATCAATGCCCAGACTCCAACAGCAAGAATTAAACCCTATTCAGACTCCAGTTTTAAGGAGGTGTAGACAGGTATTTGTGTGAAATTGGAAGAGGTAAGGGTGGGGGTGGGGTTGGAAAGAAACTTAAAACTGGAGAGGAAGAATTTATCATTTCAATAAATAAGGAAGTTCAGCAAAACTGGGTTGACAGCACAAAGTGCAAATCATACGGAAGAAGGGAAAGGAGTGTGAGAAGAGTGGTAAAAGAAACAACTCTGAGCCTCTTTACTAATCCAACTAGTTTTCAGCATCTCTTTGTTAGTTATCTCATTAAAGCCCAGTTAGTTGCTGAATCCATCCTTTTCTTGTAGTTCCAATATACCAGGAACAACAATGCACCAACATTCACCTTCGTTTCTACCATTTTGCTGTCTCAGTCATCATAGGTAATAGTTTTACCAAATGTTTTGTTGCAGCATAACAAAGGTTGCCAACTTTCTCCTCTGTAAAATCTTTTTCCTTGTCACTCCTCCTTTCTAACAAGTAGGAAAATAGAAGTAGGTTGGGAACAAAAATTTTTTTTATTAATTAAGGGAATACTTGCATAGCTTAAGGATGACAAATGCCATAAATATAAGAGTTTAACTCAAGCCTTTGAAACTGAGGTCCAAATAGAGGGAAAATGAGCAATTAAGTTTTTGAACTTCAAGGAGCTAATAATCTGATGAGGAATAAACAAATTTTTCAAGAATACAAACAACTAACATATGCAGTGAAGGGAAGGAGAGTAGAGTTTGGGAATCAATGAGTATAAATAATAAATAAAACAAGAGAGGGGCCTTGCAAGTACAAATGATCATGTAACCACAGGACCAGCCCAAACTGGCCCTACTCCATTAGTAACAGAATATCAAGTTACCGTGTAGGTATAACAGAACCAAAACTATTAATATAAGTCATATAGCCCTGGCATGTACAACAGAAGATGCTTTGATCCCTAACAACATCTGGAACCTCTCCCACCCCTCTACCCCCAGAAGCTAAGAAAATGGGAAGACCAGTCCATTAGCAGAACCTGACTGCCAGAACTCTTTCAGAAGTGAGGGGTTGATTGGCCAGAAAGATCCAGGGCTAAAATCTACCTAGACAAACCTTACTGTAAATGGTCACATTTGAAGCCCTCCAATCAGACCCTAAATATTAGCAAACCAACATTCCTAAATCTTTCCCTTGCCCTCTGACCCCTTATAACTTGCCCCAGACCCCAAGTGGGGAGACAGGTTTGAGCTGTATCTCCTGTCTCCTTGCTAGCCAGCCTCACAATGAAGCCTTTCTTTCTGCAAAAGCTAGTGCCATGGTATTGGCTTCTATGTGCTTTGGACAGTGAGCCCATTTGCTCAGTAACAGTCATGAACTTAAGAGTATAATTAATTCACACATTAGCACTGAGTTCCAAAAAATAAAACTGTACTGTAAACAAGAGGAAAAAAGTTCTTGGTCAGCTTCCTGTGAGGTCAATAGGGATTAAATATGCTATTTGTGTGAGAAAGCCAGCAATTCCTAGGGCTCCAGTTTTCCATTCATCAATTCATCTATTCCAAAATTTTAGCCAGGACTATTGAGCAGTTGTTGGAAACTGTTGCTGAATGGATGGAGGTTTGTATGCTGGTTGAGAAGCAAAATATCTTTATTTTTAGAGGAACTTTTATCTCATTTCCATGATTCTTCTTGGGCCCTGGGGCTTCCATAAGATTAAGAGGGGCAACTTCCTTGTAAATTTATAATTATTTCAAAAAAAGTTACTTAGTTTAAAAACAAGCATTCAGAGTAGCAGATATCATCCAGAAAGTTGGCAACATTAAGTATTCCCCACCCCCCGCCTTGTGTGCAAGAGCCTCCTATACCAGCCTGCACCCAGCCTTGGTACCACCATTCCTTAAACTTTGTCGATCTGCCAATATCCAGCCTGAAAGCAGACTGCTAATCACCATTCCTTTAAACTTTTGCCAATCTTATAAAGGCACAATGTGTCTTTTCTCATTTATACTTTGATTATTGGTGAGGAAGAACATTGTAGCCTACCACAGATGCCATTTGATTTCCTGTCTGTGCGCATTTTTCTATTGGTCTGGTAGTGTCTTGTTACTGATTTATAAGCACTTGAAAGCATTTGTAAGCATTCAGATAATGAATATATTAGTGTGCTGTCCTGCACATATATTGTGAATATATCCCCCACTCGGGCCAGTTTCCTCCCAAAGATCTTTAAGAGATCTTAGGTATTCCATCCTTTGACTTTTTAAAGATTCAAATAACATTAGAAATAGTATTTGGTATGTGTAGGTCCTTTTGTGATGACTTTACTGCAAATGTCTGAGAGGCTGCATCAGTATCCATTCAGGAAAAATGGACAATAGTCTTCAAGGACCTAAGAGGGTTTGTCATCACCTTTTTATAATTCTGCCAGAATTTGTACGAGTCTCAGGTCCTCATTGCACTGGTGAGCACTGAGTGCTTATGGGGGTGTGTGTAGGCGAGGACATGGTTTGGATTCCGTGGTTCTCACGCCCCACTGATGCAGCTTATGATAGTCCTTGCCAAGGTATCAAAAGACTGCAGAGGTGCATGAGGACCTCAGGCCCGCAGACTGGTGATTTGCAAACACTAGTCATGACTGCACAGTTGAGAGTCAGCTATCTTTTCCCTCTTCTCCTAGCTAGCTTCATGCAAACAAATCCCATGGCGGAGAAGGTGAAGGTGAGTGAGCTCCAGAGAGGGCATGGTAGGGATCAACTGTTACTTCTTTTGCCCTGCATCTAGATCCTGCCCTGCAGTCTTCTTTTAAGACTCTGACCTCTGCTTTCTTCTTCTTAGCAGATTCCCCTAAACTTTTCTCTTTGAATCATCTTTACTCCCATGAATGGGTGGTGCTTGAGTTGAATACGGTTGGGGAAGAGAGTCTTCTTGCTATAGCCCTTTCTCCTCTCCTTCTCCAGGTGGAAGCCCCCTGGGAACCCCTACAGCTGCATCAGTATTTGCATCAGAGCTGGGTCTGAGGCATGGGACAGCAATAGGCATCAGAGTAGGTGGGAACTGACAGGTTTCGGAGGAGAGGCTGAGTTGAGCCATTTCAGATGCAACTCAGCAAGAACCCCATGCAGAGGAGAAAAAAATTAATGTGGAAGTTTTAGGGATGGATAAAGTCATAAAGTTATCAGAAAAACATAAAACACATGGAAAAAATAATTGGAGGCCTAAAACAACTGGATTTAGAGTCAGGTGTCTTGGATTCTGGCCTCACTTCTATTCTTAGTTCATGGCTCTGTTGTCTTATTGATAAAATATATATATGGCAATAGAAGGGGAAACTCAGGAAAGGACTGTAATGAAGGAGATGACTTGGAGGCAAAAAGGAATCATGACATTAGGGACAAGCAAACTTTCATTCACATAGTTGGTTACCACTTTTGGCCTTGGACAAGTCACTTCACTTCTGTTAGCCTCTGCTTTCTAATTATAAGTTTATGGGTGACAATATCTTCCTTATGAATGGGTGAGCAACAATTATTAGCATATAATGTGTTCTACAAAAGGCAGCTCTAGTGAGATCTCCCCTCCCCTCTCTAAAATTAACTATTTAACCTTCTGGGTGACTTTCTATTTTGAGAACTGATATGGTTTTAATGTTACCCAGTGCTGCCTAATTGGGTGTGGATACTTAGGACTGTAGAATTTGCTTAATAAAAGCTGAGTCTGAGATACATCATGCAGACTTGAATAAATTTAGAACAGCAGTCAACATCAGGAGTTAACTGGACTGAAAGGAGTCTTCAAAGTTCAGTCTGTCTGTGCTCCTGTACTCTAGTACCCCACACAATGTCACTAATTTGTAGGAACAGATGTTTTCATATAATATTCTTTATATACATGCCTTGGTTTTGCTGGTTCATGTATGTGCATATAAATTTAGGGAAAGTTGTAAAAACCTGCATAGGGAAAACATCTTTCTTTCCAAGAGTAGGGAGTGAGTAGCTATGACCTGGTATGCTAGTGATAGAATCAGTGGACTTGTAGAATTGGAAAAAGTTGGATTTTGTTTTGTTTTGAGACAGAGTCTCACTTTGTTGTCTGGACTACAGTGCCGTGGGGTCAGCCTACCTCACAGCAACCTCAAACTCCTGGGCTCAAGCAATCCTTCTGCCTCAGCCTCTCAAGTAGCTGAGACTACAGCCACTTTGCCTGGCTAATTATTTTTTCCCATATATTTTAAGTTGGCCAATTAATTTCTTTCTATTTTTAGTAGAGAGAGGGTCTTACTCTTGCTTAGGCTGGTTTCGAACTCCTGACCTTGAGCGATCCGGCCACCTTGGCTTCCCAGAGTGTTAGGATTATAGATGAGCCACTGAGCCCAGCTAGATTTTGTTTTATTTTGCATTATACCTTCTCTGGACATGGGGCAGATGGTGTTTGACCAGAATCTTCTAGGCCACTGCATTTCTAGGAGTCTAGTTTAATCCCAGTTTAAGTCTGGACCATTTTTATCAGATAATGCCCTTGTCTCCTTTCTCTAGACAGTTTCTTCTTTTTTCTCACTGGATGGTTTAGACATATAGCTTCCTTTTCACACTCCCTGCATTCCATGAGCAATTTGTAGCACCTTCCTCAAAATAGGAGAAATATAGGATCAGGATATGCCAGTGAGTACTTGTGGTACCAGTACATGTTGGGTACTGCATGGACCCTACAAGGATAGGGACAGAGGAGGAATAAGAAGAGTCCTCCCTTGCAGAGGGATTTAACATAAGAACACACAATGAAATTTTCAGGTAGGACTTATTTCTGTTATGTAGAACTTAACAAATGTTAGGTGGAAGTCTACTCAGATATGTTCAGGAGATTTGAGAAGGAATGGGAGAGAAGATGGAGCTGATGATGAAGGTGGATATTACACACCTGGAGTACAAAAGGGTGAGGTGTGGGATGTGTGATAGGTCAGATGATGCCAGACAGATTTCAGTGACCGACTTTCATCTGCACTTTAGGGCTCTCCATCTCCTTTCTTGTAAAAGGAGATCTGTTCTCTTTCTTGTAGATCTCCTTTCTACAAAACAACTGTAGTTTTACAGTATTGGTTTACGAGACCATCATATGAGTGAGTGATAGGAGAAAGAAAATTATTCAAGGTTGGGATAATATTAGATTATAGAATGTTAAACCTAGAAGGCCCCTTGATCTTCTAATAGTGACCTAGATGAATGTCTTCACTTTATTCCTGGGGAAACTGAGGGCCAGCGATAAGAATTGCCCAGTTTCACAAAGGAATTTAACAATAGAGCTCTCTTCTGATTCCCAGGTCAGAGTTCTTTCCACTCTACCATACTGATGAGTGGGGTTAAGAAGTCAGAAGACCTGGGGAAAGGAAAGTAACTAGGCCATCCTTAGATAGTTGAACAATTTAAAACCTTCCCTTATCTGAGAGAGTCTAGGCAGGATGCTTTCAATCCAGGAGCCAAGGAGTAGTCTTTCACAGAAGCATGAAAGGCAGTGTGTTTTCCTCTTTGGCCCCACTTACTTCCAGCTTCTCCCATCCCAGCTCATGAATCTCTGCTCTTTTCCATTCATCCAAGTATTTCCTGGTATCTTGCCTCTGCCAGGGTAATAGGAAAAGAGACTTAACTCTTAATTTCCAAGCCACAAGACCCAATTTCAGTCTTGTCTCTGATAGCTTAGACAACTCTTGTTTGTTTTCTGGGTCTCAGTTAACCCGTCTTATCTTTTGAGTGCTTTGAAAGATTAAACAGATGCTAGGAATTGTTATTATACTAATATTATCATTTAATAAAATCTTCCAGATGGATTGCTACAAAGATGTGAAAGGCACCATCTTTGACTATGAGGCCATTACTATTAATGGAAGTGAAAACATTCAGTTCACGCGGTATATGGGCAAGCATGTCCTATTTGTCAACGTGGCCACCTATTGTGGTCTGACAGCTCAATATCCTGGTAAGAATTCTTAGCCACATCTCCTTGGGACTCAATTTTCCATTTTATTATATTCTATATCACTTGGAATTATGTTCTAATTCTAATTATGCACCAAAATAAATGCTCATAGTTAAGTGACTTCATCCTCCAATGTTATTAATAGAAGTCCGCAAATTATGGCCCAAATAAATACTCATAATCAAGTGACTTCATCCTCCATTGTCAGACTCAGCAAACTATGTCCTACAGGCCAAATCTGGCCAGCCTGTTTTTGTAAACAGAGTTTGTTTTATTAGAATGCAACCATACCCATTCATTTACATATTATCTAGGGCTGCTTTTATGCTCCAAGGCAGAATTAAGTAATTGTAGGAATAGAGGTGACAGAGGCCACATGGCTCACTAAGTCTGAAATATTTACTATCTGGCCCTTTACAGATAAAAACTTGCTCACCCTTTTCCCATGCCTTGTTTCTGCTTTGCCCTGAGATTTTCAGGAGATCAATATATAGCTGAGAACTAGGAGCCTCTCAGAAGATTCCAAAAGTCTTCTTGGTAAATATAGGAAAGAGAATCCATGTTTTTGAGACTTTTCCAGGATTTTACAGGTAACTTACAATGACAGGGAGAAGGAGGAAAGGGGGTTTATACCCAGAGCTGCATTTGACTGGAGTGAGAGCTGGGAAAGGAGGTGATTAACAGAGGCAAATACTCCCTCTCCTACAACTCATCCTTTGGGTGTAGTTTTCTCCCTCTCTCACATTTTAGGCAGTGTAGTTTAAAAAACAATGAACAATGAACAGGATGAATTATACCAGAGACAGATGTACTTCTTATGTTTGAAGTAATAAGAACTTCATTTTTTGTTTCTATTAATAATTATATTTAGAAGAGGTAATATTTTCACAAGTTTCAAAATTCAAAAGGAACAAAAAATTTAGAATGAAAAGTCTCTATCTCCTTCCTCTCCCTACAGATGACCAACATTATCATGTTTACAAAATATATACTTTCTTTTTTCTATTTTTCATACAATTTGCTGCCTTGCTTTTTTAATTAATAAAATATACTTTTGAGTTCAGACCATTTCCTTATTTTTTTAAGACTGAATAATATTTGTTAGACCATAATTTATTTTATCAGTTTTAGGAACTTTAAAAATCAAGTTATTCACTTTGTGCTCTGCAAATAACAGATGAGGAAACCGAGGAATAGTTATTCAAGGATTGGAAAACAGGCTTCCTAATTTCTTGTCTCTTCCCTAAAGGAAGTGATTATCTGCAGTACTGAAGACAAGAGGGAAGGCTAGGGAGAGAGGTACTGAGTACCTGTGAAAACAGGAAAGCAATCTCTTTCTTTTTTTACAAAGGACTAAGAGGAGATATCAGTTGGCTGAGCTGAATCAGCAGCACTGGCTAGCGTCTGTGAAGAGACTGAAGGCAACTACCTCAGAAAGGGCTAACGAAGAAGTTGATTATAAAAGTCTGAGTAGACAAGTTGGAAAATTTCCTGGCAGTGGAAAAAGGCAATTGAAGCTTGCTTTTTGGCATATCACTGAGGGATTTTAGGTAGAATGTTTCCTTTACATCTCAAGGATTGTTGAAGAGCAGCAAGAAGCATGTCTTGATATTTCTCTGGTTCTCTTTGCCTCTGTCAGGTTTACTTCTAGTTCACTCAGGGCAAGCCAGCCCACACAGGGAAGAAAAGCTCAGTTCTCATTGTCTGTTTTTTTTTTTTTTTTTACAAAAGAAAGATTCAATCTATGAATTAACCAACCAGAGAAGGCCAACTGATGAGCAATGATCCTCAAATCTGGCTTTGTTTAAAAATCACCCTTTGAATAGTAAAGATAACGAAACCCTATCTCAGAGGAAGAGAAGAGTTTCTTGAATGGGACCTGGGCATCTCTATTTTTTTTTTTTTTTTTTTTGAGACAGAGTCTCGCTTTGTTGCCTAGGCTAGAGTGAGTGCCGTGGCGTCAGCCTATCTCACAGCAACCTCAAACTCCTGGGCTCAAGTGATCCTTCTGCCTCAGCCTCCCGGGTAGCTGGGACTACAGGCATGCGCCACCATGCCCGGCTAATTTTTTATATATATCAGTTGGCCAATTAATTTCTTTCTATTTATAGTAGAGACGAGGTCTCGCTCTTGCTCAGGCTGGTTTTGAACTCCTGACCTTGAGCAATCCGCCCGCCTCGGCCTCCCAAGAGCTAGGATTACAGGCGTGAGCCACAGCGCCCGGCCTGGGCATCTCTATTTTTAAGGAAGCTTTCCGCTGCTTCTGATGTGCTGCAGGTTTGGGAAACCCTGTACTACAATAAAGGGCTTTTGAGTGCATGTCTGAAGATCTGGTGTCTAACTTCAGCCATGCCATGGACAGTCTCTCTGATCTAGAGATCAGAGAGACTGCCTCTGTTTCCTTCTCTGTAAAATGGGAAACCCCAGGGAAAGATCCCCATACAAAGCAGAATCTCTAGCCAGGCCAATATGTTGTTCCTTCTGTAACCACAGAACTAAATGCACTCCAGGAGGAGCTGAAGCCCTCTGGTCTAGTTGTGTTGGGCTTTCCCTGCAACCAGTTTGGAAAGCAAGAACCGGGAGACAACAAAGAAATTCTTCCCGGAATCAAGTAAGTGCCTACTTGAAACACAATGGGAGGCCCCCGTCCACCTTCCCTCGGTCTCCAGAGGCCCTTCCAGCTCAGGACTTTCCTGAGAAGGCAGTGGATTGATAGGCTCAGGAGCATCTGCAAGCCAATTTTAACACTGGCCTACCCTGACAAGAGCCTGGTAGTTTCCAGAGATGCTACAGAAGGGAGCACAGAAATGATGAGGGAACAGTGATGGGCTGTAGGATAAAGAGAAATAAAACGAACCAGGGAGACTAAAGTCAAAAAAATGACCTTATTTCCCAACCAACCCCCTCTTTCTGCCCTTTCTTGTGACCTCAAATCCTAGTGTCCTATCATAACCTTTTCGCCATATTCTGAAGCTTCCTGGGAACATTATGGCTTGTTGCAGGTATGTCCGCCCAGGGGGAGGATTTGTACCTAATTTCCAGCTTTTTGAGAAAGGGGATGTGAATGGCGACAAAGAACAGAGCATTTTTACCTTCTTGAAGGTGAGTGAATTCTTGGTCTAAGTCTCCTCCTATCCCCTAATATTCCTAGGATAGAAATGGTGTAGCAGAACCCAAGGGCTTATGCTTGAAGATGGATTGGTCTTTTTGGAGGAAATCTTCAGATCAGCATGGGATGGGGGTCTAATCTCTTAGTATGTATGGGTGGGCTCTGGCTTTGTGGAGAGAGTTGTGTGGAATGACAGCTTCTACTGCAATCACCCTCTTTTGCTCATTGATATTGATTGATTCATTCATTCATTCAAGGTACATGTAATGAATGTCTACTATCTATAAGACAGGCTAAATAATAAGGATATAAAGATGAATACGCCACAGTCTCTACCTTTGATGAGCTTGTACTGAAGAAGGAGTTAGAAATCAACAGATGTGATTTACGATGTAGTAGTACCTTTTATGAAACACTGATTTTTAGACACAGAGAATTGAAAGGACCCTGAAAACCACCAGAGTGATTTGTTCCTATATGCTGGACTATGGACCAAGAGTAGGCCAAATTAAGATTTTTAAATATCTTCAGTAAATTGAAGATAGTAGAACTGTGTAAGAAGGATTTTACAAACTCAACTCATCTAATTCATAAGGCTGTCCTTTGTTCAAAGATTATGACCCGTATGCAATTTATTTCTCCAATGGTCTTTTTGAATTAAGTGATGAAATGATGGTATTTAAAAATTTTTTTCTTATTTGACAAAATATTAGTAACTCAATATTGGTCCCCCAAAATAATTGTTGACATGTTACTGGCTCATGGAACCCTAAAACTTGGGAAACCACATTCTAATCCAAGTCATTTACTCTGAAGAAAAGGAAACTAAAAGCTTGAGAGGTAACATATCTTGCCTATGGCAGCGTAAGTTAGTGATGGAGTCATGAGGAGAAACTGAAAGAAGGAGTAGCCTTTTGCTACAACATCTACAACATTGTTGGTAGTTGGCATGGTGATTTAAAAAATTTATGGGATTTATTGGGAATAACAAAAAAAATTAAAATATGTAGGTATAGAAGGAAGTAGATTACCTGTGGGTAAAAATCGCCTGGATCATTCAGGAGCAGAAATAATGTTATTTCCCTTTTTTATCTCTTTGCTTCAGCAATCCTGTCCTCACCCCTCTGAGATTTTGGCCTCATTCCGATATATCTCCTGGGAACCCATAAAAGTCCATGATGTCCGCTGGAACTTTGAGAAGTTCCTGGTGGGGCCCAATGGAGTCCCCGTCATGCGCTGGTCCCACCGGGCTACAGTCAGCACAGTCAAGTCAGACATCCTGGAATACTTGAAGCAATTCAAAACTAAATAGGAAGGCAGAGTTAGGGGCAGGAGCCATCTTGCTTCTCAACCTAAAGACTTGCTGCAAAAAAAAAAAAAAAAAAATCTATCTTCTTGCCATACTCTCTTCCCAAATGGCCTCCACTTCATTAAATCACCTTCATACTGCCAAATTTCCCACTCTCCACCAAGTAGATTTATATTTGGAAGGCTACTGCTATTTCTCTTTGTAAGAGTATGTGGGTGAAGAATAAAAATGGAAATCCTAAGTCTCCAGGCCTCTGCTACAAATTGAATCATTCATGTCCATCAAAGGAAAATCCTTCCACGAGAATTGTTCAGTCTGCTGTGGTATCCTGAATATCAATGTCCCTAGACAGCCCAACTGGGTTATACTCATATAATCTAGCTTCTACTTTATAACATTTTTTTGTCCCCTAGGACAAACATGTCTTGTCAGTTTCCAGCTCTTTACAGATCAGTCTTCATCCATGACATGTCCCCTCACCTGCCATTATTCTGTGGGAACCCCAAGGTAGAGTGAGAGCAGGACCATTTCCTCACAAGAAAAGAGGGCAATGCTAGTGGGACCCAGAGCCTCTCTGTGTTTGGCCATACAAAAGCTTCCCTTATTGTCTGATCTTTAGCACATTCAGGTTTGGGCACCTGAGCAGAAATGCTCTTTATCTTTCCAAGGATGGGATTTCCCCTCTCAATCCTGAGTTCTCAGCTTCAGAACCAGCCCTTCCTCTATGTCCAATAAAATGTTTTCTGCAGCATCTCTGTGGTGATTTTTTAATCTCATACTTTCCTTGAACTCATTTTATCTCTCTCCTCCTTCTCAGTCTATCACAGATGGTGTAGTACCCAGATTACCCGAGCCCCTCTGACAAAAATTTATCCTCCCAGATGTTTGTCACATGATGGTTCTCAGTTGTCATCCCTCTTCAGGAATTGCCTCAAGCCAAGTTTATCCTCTTTCCAGTTTGTATCAAATTACTGGTCTATGAGGGTTATAAAGGCCAAGTCCTGACTGCTCAACTTAGGAAAACTTTGAAGGGCCATCCCACGTCCAGAGACCCCCATGGGGTAGGCCGATGGCCATTCTTGCTTGCACTACAGCCCAATTTTTCCCTGTGACAAATTTTGCTCCTCTTCTTTGCTCCCCTCAACCCACCAGATATTGATTCTGAATGCAAATCTTTACCTCAGAGTCTGCTTTCCAGGGAACCCAAACTACATTTGTTGGTATCAAAAATGTTCTGAGAAAGAAGATGCTAAGATGAGATTTCAGAAGGGGAATCATTCACCATCTGGTTGATAAAGAAGGGATGGGTGGAGCATAAACAGCCACTGGCACAAAGTAGCAGTGCAGTTGTTAAAACTTTCACCAAAGTCGAACTGGTATGGTGTATACTTTTTGAAGGATATGTACTAGCAGATGTGATGTATCATGAGCTTGAGAAGCATGGAGGAAATGGCAATTATAAGGTAATAGAAGTGGATAATCATCCATAGAGGAAATTGATGTTTTGGAGAGAAACAATGAAAGGCTGAGAATGATATATCATTAAATAAAAGCTGACTGTAAAAATGTGCCTTTATTGGCCAAGCGCGGTGGCTCACGCCTATAATCCTAGCTCCCTGGGAGGCCAAGGCGGGCGGATTGCTCAAGGTCAGGAGTTCGAGACCAGCCTGAGCAAGAGTGAGACCCTGTCTCTACTATAAATAGAAATAAATTAATTGGTCAACTAATATATATATAGAAAAAATTAGCCAGGCATGGTGGTGCATGCCTGTAGTCCCAGCTACTTGGGAGGCTGAGGCAGGAGGATTGCTTGAGCCCAGGAGTTTGAGGTTGCTGTGAGCTAGGCTGATGCCATGGCACTCACTCTAGACTGGGCAATAAAGTGAAAAAAAAAAAAAAAAAAGTGCCTTTATGGAATCGTATAAAGAACTTCTCATGCCCTACAACTTAAGGATACAAAAAGCAATGGTTCAGGCCCAAGACTTAATCATAGGAATATTATGCAGAACTCCAAAGAAAGTTAAATTCCCAACCTACATAATTTTCTATGCCAAGGTCACAGCCTTGACTGGAAAAGAATAGACCCATGAGACCTTGGATGGAGACATTAGGAGAATGTGTCAGAACATTCAATTCTCCAGATTTTCTAGGACCCTCGAAACTTTTAGAAGTAGTCTACCCCTCCTTATTAAAGGTTGGGATGTCCTTCTTGCTTGAAAACAGTACAGATGACACTGTCCTGTGAAACATTATGTGCTTCTGCCACCCACTTCTGCCCTGTACAGAACTAGATTGTAAGTGTTCCTAAACAAGGAGAGTGGAACATAAAGTTAGATAAGGAGAGTTCATTGATATGGATGCACACTCCCTGAATACAGACTTTTTACACGTTGGCAAGAACCCAACACACTGTTAGGATGGCTACTGGTTAGAAAAACAAGTGGCTCTCACTAAATGTAGTAGAAATGCCAAAACTGTTGTGACACATGGCAGAAATAAGAGATCAAAAGTTCAGAAAAGGGGGCATATTACCAGTAGTGCATTTACCAGGTAATGCTGGGAAATCCACTAGAAGACTGAGTCACAGGAGGACCATAGGACATTCTGTTTGAAAAAATAAATAGGAATATGCTAGTGAGAGGCTCCATTTTTTTCATATTGTTTAATAACTGGAAGAAAGATTTTAAAATTTTTCTCTGTAAACCTTCATAGAAAAAGCCTGAAATGAAATATAACATATGTGAACAATGGATTTCTCAAGATTTGAGACTTGAGAAGATTTTCAAATAATTGTCTTATTGTTTTTCTGCATTTACCTTAGCCTGTGTTGCATTTATACATTTAAAACAGTGATTTTTCTAAGGGAAATATTAGCTTTATGAATGTTTCAGGGTAACAAATTATTTTAACATTCTTAGATTAAAAATTAGTGAGTTCCTGGGTGAGAGTAGGAGGGTGGCACTTAATTTAAAGCAGCAGGGGTGGGGGTGGAGAAAGGCCAGCTGAATGTGGGGAGTGGAGGTTCAGGAAAATTGAATGGTGGAGGCCAGGTGCGGTGGCTCACTCCTATAATCCTAGCTCTCTCTCTGGGAGGCCGAGGCAGGCGGATTGCTCTGCTCGAGGTCAGGAGTTCGAAACCAGCCTGAGCAAGAGCGAGACCCCGTCTTTACTATAAATAGAAAGAAATTAATTGGCCAACTAATATATATAGAAAAAAATTAGCCGGGCATGGTGGTGCATGCCTGTAGTCCCAGCCACTCGGGAGGCTGAGGCAGGAGGATTGCTTGAGCCCAGGAGTTTGAGGTTGCTGTGAGCTAGGCTGACGCCATGACACTCACTCTAGCCTGGACAACAAAGTGAGACTCAGTCTCAAAAAAAAAAAAATTGAATGGTGGAGATGGAAAGCCCATGTGAATCCAAAGCATTGGAAAATGCAGTGGTTTCATAGAGGCAAAATACACACTCCTAAATGGAAATTAGACATTGTTTTACATGCAGCCAGGCATCTCTTAGCTTCCTGCCTTTGATGAGTCAATGTGACTTTCCTTCATCCAAATGCTTTTAAATAACAGTCTGATTTTAGAGAGGCATGGGAAAATCTGAGCAGAAAATCAAGGTACAGCTGACTGCAACTCTTAGCCCCTAGGGCATCTCTGCTTTGTGAGGGAGAAGGCTCCAGATTGGCTAATTCCAGGGTGCCCTTGACTGCTGCTTTTAATCCTGTTCGTGGAAGTCCCACATCAGCAGTTGCCTTTTGTTCATATTATTTAATACTGTAAACAACAATGTTTAAAAATATTTAATCTTTATCTGTATAAGCATCTTCACTTATACCTCCCCTAATCCTCACTTTGACTTGTGGCTCCAGTGGAGCAGTTGGTTAGCAAGAGGTACTTACAAGAAGTATACCTATGAACAGTGATGAGGTTGTGAGTTTGAGCCTCATCTGGAGCATTTTTACTACTTGGGCCAGTACATCAAAAAATGGGGAAAGCTTATTAAGTTTAATGTCACCTTCAGGAGATATATGTACTGTTGTGATTTACACCATATTCAGAACTTTCTTGTAATGTGTCTTAAAATTCCCTGCTCAAGATCATTTATAACAAATACCTTTCCACTGTTCTTTTTGATGCCTGCCTTTTTCCAACACTTTGCAACAAGCGTTTGACAGTTGCTAAAACAACTGTTCACAGTATGCAATTAAGTTAAGAAACTGACCATTATAGTCTCAGGCCTAGAATTCAGGTACATATAAAAATTAGTGAAAATCCTACCTCAGTTTCTTCACTTCTCTGGGCGTCCTCTGGGATTCATTCTCCCTCTCCCTCTCCCTCCTGTCTTTTGAGACAGGGTGTCACTCTGTCGCCCAGGCTGGAGTTCAGTGGCACAATCATACCTCACTGCAACTTCCAACTCCAGGGCTCAAGCAATTCTCCAGCCTCAGTCTACAGAGTAGCTAGGGGTACAAATATGAGCCACCATGCCTAGCTGTATTATCGTTCTTTTTTTTTTTTTTTTTTTTTTTTTTTTGAGACAGAGTCTCACTTTGTTGCCCAGGCTAGAGTGAGTGCTGTGGCATCAGCCTAGCTCACAGCAACCTCAAACTCCTGGGCTCAAGTGATACTCCTGCCTCAGCCTCCCGAGTAGCTGGGACTATAGGCATGTGCCACCATGCCTGGCTAATTTTTTCTATATATATTAGTTGACCAATTAATTTGTTTCTATTTATAGTAGAGATGGGTGTCTCACTCTTGCTCAGGCTGGTTTCGAACTCCTGACCTTGAGCAATCCACCTGCCTCAGCCTCCCAGAGAGCTAGGATTACAGGCGTGAGCTATCGTGTCTGGCCTGTATTATCATTCTTAATAAGCCCATGATGCCTGTAGCTATGATAGAGACACAGGTATTGAGTCTCAAAAAAACAAACTGACGCATTATAGTCTTGGAACTGAGCAGGAAGCCTGTGTGTGGGCCACTAATCTCACCCTATGGATCTTAAACATTAACTGAGACATCTTAGAGACACATATAAAACCCTCTGGCTTTACAGAAGATTTATGATTGCCCATGTGTAAATGCTTAGCATTCCCAGTTCTTTTCCAGCTGCTGCTACATTTTGGAGTGTTTACATTATCCCTGGTCTGTGAGCTTCCCATCAAGTAAATGTGGGTTCAAATCACTCACAAACCATCTTGAATTAAGACCATCTTGGCAAAGAAGTGATAGCAGATAATTTACTTACCAAGATGTACAGTAGACATATCAATAGGGGCCATTCACACTGTTATTTGATAATAAATCATCAATTGGTCAATGGACACAAATTCTTCCCATCCCTGTATACATGCCCCTTTGTAACATGATTTTGCAGCAGCTTCCATCAAGAGGTGGCATCTATTTTCCTCCCCATTGTGTGTGAGCTGACTTTGTGATTTGCTTTGACTAATAGAATATTGTGGAATGGTAGTGTGGAAGTGACATAGGACTTCAAAGATTACGCCTCAAGAAATCTTATAATGTACCTCTTAAAACCTCAAGACCACTATGTAAGGAAACCTCATTTAGCATCTTAGAGGATGGAAGAGCACCTGGAGAATGAGTCCCAGCCATCCCAGTCATCATCCCAGCCAGTCCAGCTGACACCCCATACATGTTAGTCAGACCATCTTGAATCATCTAATCCCAGTTAAAATGCTAGGTGACCACAAAAACATATGTGACC